GGCATGGGGATGTCGCCGGTTCCCTCCGCTGATCCCTGTGGAGTTTGACATAGAGAAACCTGATGGACACCACGAGCGAGAAGACAGGCCAGCACGCAGATGCAAGCTGCTTTGTTTTTCTCGGTTTCAATGAGACCTGAATGTTTTCTAGTGGTTTTTTTTTTTTGTTTTTTTGGGTTTTTTTTGTAATTTCTTTCTTTTTTTTTTTTGTAATGTCAGTATTGAGAGAAAAAAATAAATAAAGTATTTTAAAAAAAAAAAACCAACAACGTAGTTCCTTGGAGTGTGTTGTGGTGGGAGGTGCTGGTCTGTGCTTGCGCAGGGAGCGGGGATGGGGCTCTGTGCCAGGGTCGTCTCTGCCACCGGGCTGGCCAGGTGCCTGGGACCTTCAAGGCCAGTAAGGAAGGGAATAGCCGGGGGAGAATCCTGTTTGGTTTGTCTGCTTGTCCCTGCACAGGACCTTCAGGGCCTGATAACGAGGGGACGGGAGCGAATCGTGACCTGCTCGGTCACAGGGAATGGCTGCTCGCCTCACGGAGCGGCGTTAGTTGTGCAACCCCCATTGCCGGGGTGGGGAGCGGGGGGCACGGCCAGGGGCCCCATGTCCCCATGGAGCTCCCGGGACATGGCTGACACGGGCGGCAAGAGCGGGGCTGGCCGAGGAGGGGCTGTGGGTGGTGGGGTGCTGCAGCTGGGGATGGGACGGCGAAGGGGGCTCCCTGCTGGCTGGCTGGGGGGCTGGAGAGACGCCGATGGCCAGATCTTCCCCGATGGGCCCTGGGGCAGGGCAAGAGGCAGCGGCACAAGTTGCATCCAGAAAAAGTCTCACTGAGACCCAGAAATTTTCCCCAAAAGCTCTCATCAGGAGCACCACACAAAAGCAGGCAATGGGAGCAAAACCCACGGTCATTGCTTCTCGGGTGGGGACTGGGCAGAGGCTGCCAAACCCCAAATGGGGGTGATGGCTCACTGCCCCCTCCCAGGAGAGAGCTCAAGGCCATGAAATCACCCTGTAACAAGGTAACCCCGGAGCCCACACGGCAGACAGGGCTGGGAACGGACTGGGGGGGGGG